GTTCTAAGCCATGCATATTTTATATGTATATGTAACTCATGGTTTCTCTTTAAAACTATGTTACTTGTTTTTTTCAGTTTGTAGAAAATGAACAAGTTAGTGAGGTTTCATTAATGTGAATAAAACACTCCACTTAGACTTTGTTTGTTTATATTTCAATAACGCTGAGTGGGTTCTGACCTTACTATCCCGTTGGCTGGGGTGTGTAATCTTTTGGCAAATAGTTGTAACAAGGACGCGGCGTGAATTATGAAAACAAATGAGACTTTTCTGCCGTGTAACACAATTTAGGTGTACATGTATATTATTTATTATAGTGTGCACAACAATGAAATGCAATGATCGGCAATAACACAAATAAAATGGAAATGACAATTAAATTAATCCTCCCCCCAAAAACTTGCAATGTCATAGTATAATTAATAAAAAAAATACTAATTAACTTGAATCACTAACAAAACAAAACACAACATTATCACACATGGATAGAAATAAACCCTTACATACTAACCTCCGTGACCTAGTTCAATCAAAGTTCAAACATTTACGTAACTTTATTAGAATTTTATCATGGCTATGAAAATAACCCCTAAATCACTTTATCGGGCCATAAATATAAGCACGGTTACTACACGTTTTTTTAGTAACCGTGATATAAGTCAGCTCTAATGATAATAATACACTACTTAGCATTCAGCTGTGTTGGGTGTAACTACAGACATGTTTGTTGTCGGTAACAGGCGTTATTTAGAGGTGACAAGAAAACTAAGGAAGATAAAAGAAAACCGGGACAAAAACCTCTAGTCTATAGCGTTGACAGCGCCCTGTACAATTCTCAGGCATGACCCACGTGGGCCTGACCATTCATTACGGGTGTAGGTGTTAATTGGTCAACGAACCACGTTGAGTCACATGATACGCAGAATTGTGAAAGGAAAACGACACCCAACTCTCGTACTTGGTTCTTTTTTTACCTCCATGGTTTGAACATGGAGGTTTTGGTTTGAATATATGCACCCTGGCATATCCTCGGGACTTGCAAGTTTGGCCAGCCCCCAAAGTGAAACGATTCTCAAAGACGAGCCAGGAAGAGGAATCAGTAGAGTTGTTTTCGTTGGCGTGATGGAAAGTTGGTTAGCGTGGGGAAAAACAGAGGTGTTAATCCGACAATTCATTGTCTTGTTTGTGGTTGGTCCTGGCATGGAGGTAGCCTCCATGGTCCTGGCACGTGGGTCCTTGTAACGTTTGGAGGATTGTGACGTAGCTCCATCTTTGAGAATGTAAATGAAAAAGTTTGACAATACAAGCAATAAACCGTGAGCCTCGATGGCCAGATCCCCAACGCCCAGGCGTCGATCAGAAAAGGAGTAGATAGCCGCAGTAATTCGCGACTTTTGGGTACAAACGTGTGTTACGTCAAGGAGTTCTACTGTGGAGGGGTCGAAACGTCGAGGTGTCGCCGTAATTAGCGACTTTTGGGTACAAACGTGTGTTACGTCAAGGAGTTCTACTGCGGAGGGGTCGAAACGTCAAGGGGTCGCCGTAATTAGCGACTTTTGGGTACAAACGTGTGCTACGTCAAGGAGTTCTACTGTGGAGGGGTCGAAACGTCGAGGGGTCGCCGTAATTCGCGACTCTGTCGCCAAATTTAGGTATCTTCTAGTTTTATCCAGTAAAACAATGCTGGGTCCAAATGTTTGTTGCGGATTGTTGCGTCAAGGGGTCGAGAGAGCGAGGGCTTCAGATGACCTGATACCGATCTCGCAACTCTATAATCATGCTGAAACATTGCCTTTACGAACGGATAGATAGATAGATAGATAGATAGATAGATA